AACAAAAAAATACGCTCTTGCATGTTTAAAACCACTACTAAATATATGTTGAGTTAAAAAAAATGTCTTAAATTAGCACAAGTTCTCTAGTTAATTAGACATTTTCAAGAAAATGGCCTCAGAAAATCCCCAAACTAAATTTTATTTCATTAAGAGAAAAAACAAGTTACATTAGTTTTATTATCTTTTTGAAATTTTTCTCTTACCTGCTTTCTACAGTGTCATTGCAAGCTAACATCTGAACGTACTTCTCTCTTGTACTTAATCGAGTCATGATAACTGCAGTAGCTGTAGTGTCAAACTGAAACAATAACAACAAAATCACAGAGAAAGTTAGCAAAGATTAGAGCATATTGTGGGGCTAGTTCTTTTCCCCACAACTTTCATTTTATACTGAACAATCCCCTCACCTCAGCTTAAATAATAGGTCAAAAGGCCTAAAACCCATTTCTGAATTTTAATATTAACAAAAAGTTTAATTTTGAGCTGGGTGTGGTGGCACACACCTTTAATCCCAGCACGTGGGAGGCAGAGGCAGGTGGCTCCCTGAGATCCAGGCCAGTCTGGTCTATATAACCAGTTCCAGGCCAACTGGGGCTACAGGGAGACCCTGTCTCAAAACAAAATCTCCCAAGAGTATAACTGTAAATACCACTTTTGTTTTAATATAGCATAAATTTGGCAAGGTTAAAGTCTAAACAAATCTTGAAAACTGGATTTGGTAAAATTTCCAAATAATTTGATTTAGTCTCTAAAATTATAAACTTATGTGACATAACATTCTGACACTTTGAAAAGATGCTCTCTTTAGTACCTAATAAGAATGACTTTTTCATTCAAGTACTTGTCAGAATAGGATATTTTTGAGATACATATGGGCTGACTTTGGATTACATTTAGTGTTAAGCCCCTTCGATACTACATGTTATATAATGAACATGATAGTCTGATACAATGAAAAACTTCCCCAACCAAAATGCTCATGCTGCCAGACATGGAGGCACATGCCAGTAATCCTAAGATTTAGAAGGCAGAAACAGGAAGACAGTAAGTTTGAGTCCAGCTTGGGCGGGCTACATATAGAGATCCAATCTCTCAAACAAATAAGCAAGCAAATAAACAAACATAAAAATGCCAAGAACATTTTCATTCAGAATAAAAATAAAATAAGATGAATAAACTCTTGAACTCAAAAAGGCCTTTAACAGCCTACTCATTTATAAATCCATCCCTTCATTAACAGATGGGAATTTAGAAGACTTAGGATGTAAACAGCAGGCTATGTTCCAATTAGTGAATCTTATTTTATTCCCACATT